ATCTTAATAAAATGACATGACCCTCATATTGTGTCTTCTTAACATACTCGGCCTGATGCAATCAGTCCAATAACCTCGGAGAAATACTTCGAAGTGGTAAGTCCCTCAGCCTGGTAAAGAAATTAGCACCATCAACAGAAACAGCAAAGAGGCTACAGTTGCAAGTCGAGACTATGCAGCGCTGAGAGCACTGAAGAAAATATTTGGTCAGAAGAAGTGCTGGAGGCTGGACTGTGCCTCTGGATGACACGAAACACTGCACCCAAAAGAAAATGTAAAGAATTACGTGAAAAACTAAACATGAAAGAGGGTACACAATGAGCTGATCTATATTTCAGCCATTACAAATAGGTAATTACACCCTGGAAGCAATTATAAGTGTTTGGAATAACAGCCAAAAGCACAACACAAGAGATTTAAGTATAAACATAATCATGTATATTACTGTGTTATCTTGTAACATTTTGATATATGGATGTGCTCACTATATATATTTGTTTTAAAAAGTCAGTAAAGTTCCTCGCAACATTTTTTTTAAATTACGGAGCATTTGCAGTAGAAAATAAACAATACCAGTCACGGTATTGTGCCTTTTTTTTTGTTATTACATTACTAAAATGAATGGAAAAAATCGTTTGAAAGGTAACCGGGAATAAAGAAAACGAGGAAGATTATGCTCATTGTATAACGTCAGTAGTAATTGTGATGGTAATTTGTTTGTCATCATAAATATTGGAAAACTTCTAACGCGGATTTTAGTCACATGGTGACCAGGTCATCGGAGCTGTTGGTCATCTGACCAAAGTTTCCGCTGACTGGTTGGTTAATTGGTTTTTAAAGCTTGTTGACTACACGAGGCTTATCAACGTTTGCATGTTACCTCTCCACAGCCAGTCAAGATACCTTTAATCACCTAAAATAGAAGTTAAAAATCAACTCTCAGTGTATATACGCTGATTGATATACACTTCTCAGCGTACATATCTTTCGCCTTCCGCTGGCTCCCCTGTCCATTCCGTAAACTAAATAAATAGAAAGAAAGAATTGAGCATCACAAGAATCAACTCTGAATCCATTATGTATTTTTAGTTAGTTATCTGCTCTCTGAACACTCATTTATATTAATTTGTTTGCTGTTAACACAACAATTGTCTACAAGACCAGATTTCAAAATAATTGACAGTTCCTTAAGAAAGATATTAGTAAAGTGAACAGGGGCAATAATGATGGGTGATTAAAAGGCAAGAAGAGTGACTGAAGGGAAGGAAATGGTGGGAATGAAGGAGAGGAACAGAGGATAGAAGAGCAGGGCGTCTACATACAGAAATGAATTATTATTATTATTATTATTATTATTATTATTATTATTATTATTATTATTATTAGCAGTAGCAGCAGTAGTAATAACTTGGGAAAGTGTTATGAACAAAGATGACTTGATCCGAGGAGCAAAGAGCTTTCTCAATTTCCCTTGATCAAGAGCCCCTCATCTTAGAGCAAGAAAGCAGGGAAAATTCCCATCAACTGAAAAATTCGAAAATAAGCAAGCGGAATCACTCACAAGTTATGAAATCTAAACACTGGCTTTTTTAGTGCGACTTTGACACCTACAGGGTTAAAACTTGGGAGGCAAGATAGAGGCCTGAAACAATGTATTATCTGGGAGGAAAACGGCTGCAGAAATGAGAGCTGAAGACCTGAAGGAAAACACTGCACCGAACGTATCACCAATACGCACACATGAACCCAGGTGATCCATAATTATTAATAATATACATTACTGACATGTTGAGGAATAAGATAAAGTCCAACACTTGGTTATCTTTTCTGAAGATACATTTTCCCTGTGCAGCACATCAACCTAGAAATAAGTGTTAGAAAAAAACTACACCAGCCCGATTTAGGTTCAGAGGGGAGGACAGAGAGCTAAACTTTATATTTCTTTATCAACAGAAACAGGAAAGTGGAAATTAGGTAAGGGCTTCGCACACAGTCCGAAACTCGACCCCTGCAACCACATAAAGGTGAGCCAAACAACAACCACACACACACACACACACACACACACACACAACACACACACACACACCACACACACACACATACACACACACTAGACAGACATACACGCAAACAAAGTGACTTACATTTCCACGGTAAACACAACTGTCTTCCACAAGTGAAAAATCAAAATGCGCGTATTTTCCCAACCCGAAATTAATTCCCTAAATAAAACCAGCAACGGACATCAGCAAACTCGTCAGATGAACGCCTCAAAACAATCCGGCAAACTCAGGAATGAAGAAAAACATGGAAGACAAGAACGAAAGTGAAGAAGACATAAGAAATACACAAGTAGGGAGAAGAGCAAATAAAGAAGGTTGACTTCAATTAAAAAATAAAAAGAAATGTGTTGTAAAGATAGTATGAAAAACAGCAGGAAAAAGAGGAGGAGACGTATGGTATAATAGGAAGAGAATTAAGAAAACGAGGATGAAGAAAATGGGAGGGGAAGGAAAACAGGAAGAGAAAGAAGACGAAGCGAAGGAGAAGGTAGAGGATGAGGAGGAGAAAAACCAGGAGAACAAGGAAGCTGAGGAAGAAGAGGAAGTGAAAGAAGAAGAAGAAGAGGGAATGCAAGGATGGAAAAGGAAAGAAGAAATATGGAAGCACTCAACAGAACAAAGAATGGCCGGGAACATGGAATCTGGCAATCACCAAGACACACACTTACACCAGCAGCTTCTCTCTAAGGAACAACCAAGGAGTTATCCTGGAAGAAGAAGAGGAGGAGAACTGGGGTGAAGGAGGTCACTCGATATCCTTCGGTGCCCACGAGTCTGAAGAATCCGGTGGATGAGAGTAAGATTAGAAACACCCGTTGATGTAAGATGTGTGTGTGTGTGTGTGTGTGTGTGAGAGAGAGAGAGAGAGAGAGAGAGAGAGAGAGAGAGAGAGAGAGAGAGAGAGAGAGTAGATTAAGTGTTATATCTCAAAGTATTGATTATACCGTTGCGTTGAGCCAGCCAGTGTTTACTCAACGGCTAGTGCTCGTTGACCGCCTCGTTGCTACTAGCTCAAATGATTCCCACAGACAAGGAATACATTTTCTAAGATTAACGAGCGAGCGTTACAGATTGAGTAATTGTTACAAGTTGAGCAGCACTTGAAAAACCAGCTTAATTTCTTTGGTTAAGAAAGCCAGTTTGACTAACTAGTAAAAGCTGAGGTGACAGTTGCATAGTGGTTCGTCTTTCGAGCAGGACGAGACGTAGGGGCAAGTCTCCTTTCACCTGTTTGCCCTCTGAACGTAGGAGTAAATAGACACCTGGAGGGTGCTAGCCGACTGTTGTGGCTGGTATCCTGGAGTGTGGTGGTAGACCTCAGGTAGTGTGTTGCTTTGAGATGAGCTCAGATAAGATGAAAGCTTATTTTGTAAACTGAACTGAGTAAGAAGGAACAGTTCTATTGAGAAAAATCAGATAGCGAGACTGGTATGTCTGGCGCACACTGCAATGAGAATCGAACCTTTACCCCTCAGTGTTTTTTTTTCCTTAATACCCACATATTCCTTGATACCCCAGATTTTCCTTGATAATACATATTTCCATTAGTACCCCATCGGTATCATATGTATAATATATATATATATATATATATATATATATATATATATATATATATATATATATATATATATATATATATATATATATATATATATATATAAGGAGGGTGTTAATGTTGCAGTTTAAAAACTGTAGTGTAAAGCACCCTTCTGGCAAGACAGTGATGGAGTGAATGATGGTGAAAGTTTTTCTTTTTCGGGCCACCCTGCCTTGGTGGGAATCGGCCAGTGTGATAATAAATATATATATATATATATATATATATATATATATATATATATATATATTATTAAGTGTGTGTGTGTGTGTGTGTGTGTGTGGTGTGTGTGTGTGTGTGTGTGTGTGTGTGTGTGTCGTGCCGAATAGGTAAAATTGCGATTTTGGCTTAAATAGCAAAGCTCTTCTTGCCGAATAAGACAAGTGAAAATTTATGTATGCAATAATTTCACAAAAATCTTCCTGAACCTAACGAAAAAAATGTATTTCATTGTGTTTGTTTATTATTAAATTATTGTAAACTTATCTAAAATATATTTAGTTGCATTAGGCTAAATTAAATTTCGCTTGTTATAATAAGGTTAGGTAAGCTTTCCAAGTTTCTTTTGGTACAAAATTATTAATTTTTACATTAACATAAATGAAAAACTATAATTTAAACGTATAAGAGAAAATTTTAGAAAGGACTTAATATCTAAATGAGTTCTTGCTAATTGACCAGTTTTACCTATTCGTTACGACTTATATTAAAAGTTATCTAAAATGCTAGTACCTAATGCTTTTATGAAATAGAATTAACAGTAAGGGGGCTCACATCTCAGTTGTTGGTACCTTCAGCTCACAACCAAAGAACTCGAGTCCAGTTCTGGGCGGGCGGAGATTAGAGCAAGTGCCTCTGTACACCTGTTACCTCTCTTCACCTAGGTGCATATTGTAGGTACATGATTTATATAATAGACTTCTGGAATCATCCTGGGGATAGTAATATACCTGATATAGAATGTGGTTTTGAAATGAGCTTAGGTAGGATAATAGCTTCTAGACCACGGCACGGATGGGTTCTGAACCCATGGTTAGTGAGTCACTCGGCCAGCTGGCCCAGTGGTTTACGCACTGGCCTTGAGTTTTAAGAGTCATTCGCCATGGGTTCAAACCCCACCCGCTCCGTGGCTCGTTTGCAGTCGTGTTATTACGTTTTCGTGAGTCATAACAGCTTCAAGTTTTTAAATTCAGCAGTGTGCAGCAATATCTAGCAACACTGATAGGTAAAACAAATGAAATATCTGCTTATATTAATAATAATAATAATAACAATAATAATAATAATAATGACAATCATGAAGAAGTAGCAAGAAGAGCTTCAGTGGGTCTTACTTGTTTGACTCTATTTCGCTCTCTGGCATTTCTTCTGGAGACTGGAAGACGAACTTCGGAGTCTGAGTAACTAATTCTTCTTCTGCACTTCGATGGTGACAAACTTAGACTCGGGGACGACGAAGGAGACGAAAGGAACACAGGAAAAGGAGAAGATAGAGACGACGACTCTAAATGTTTACCGACGGAGGTAGGCGTTTTGACAAGGGTTGTAACAGCTGAAGAGGTTGGGGATCTTGTGATGGAGTTGGAGACGGTGGAGGTGATGGAGTTCTTAGTTGTTGGAGAGGGTCTGATGGGCGTGAGAGGCTTCAAGGGAGATTTGGTGTTCTGGGGAGAAGACGATTTGATCACAGTACATTTGGAGGAGACTGGTTGAATCCTGAGGTTGACTTTCCCTAATCCGTTTTTGCTGAAGCTCTCAGTTAGCTTAGTGACGGAGCTGGAGGTGATTTTGCTGGTGATGACAGGGATTTTCGCGGATATGCTGACCGCTCTGTTGGTGATATTTTGTAGGTTGGCGGCGTTGGAGGGCTTCAGAACCTCCGGTTTCAGTGGACTCTGCACCTCCACCTTGAGTGGCTTCTGCATGACCGCCACCTCCGTCGACATGGCCGCCCCTCTAGCCTCTAAGTACTTATACTAGCTTGACACTGTCCTTCCTAGAGCATAATTCCTCAGCCAGGGAGGACAGTCCTCAACACACAAGAGAGATCCTGCGCCCAACACACCCACACCACCGATCTAATTTTTCAGACACTAGCGGGTAATAACGGTTTTATCCTCGTCACTTCAAACTTGCCGCCGTTTTGGCCGTTTTCTAGCGCGCGACAATGTCTCCCTACCGACCGTGGCGGTAACGGAATGCGTCTGCGCGTGTCTGGGCTGAAAGACCTACGCGCGTGCATTAGCCCCTCCCACCCCATGTTAGCCCGCCAATCACAATCCCTCCCGCCAAATATTCAGCCAATGAGAAAGCGGGATTCGGGGAGAACCTCCGCCCCCACACACACACGTGCGGCTCGTGCCGTGGGTGGCGCGTGTCCGGTGCGGCGCGTGCCGTCAGCTCTTTGTTGAAGTATCATGCTCTGGCTGCCTCTCCCAGCTTCCACGAACCACTCTAAAGCCTACCAACATTACTCTGTACATTTAAAGAAGCATACGTCGTAATATAACAATAATAAGTAATAACCACGGCAGAAAACAGGGTAAAATAATATAGCAGTGATGTTTTTAGGTCTGGCTGGAACAGCTGCGGATGTGAAAACTTATTATCCTCCAGAGTTGCCAACATCAACGCTAAGCTGCCATGTATAGCAATGTTTACCCTCTGAAATCTCATTTCATCAATATAAAAAAACAGCACGAGTAATATACTATGATTTATTGTTAGTGTTGTGTTTTAAGAGGCTGTGAATTCCTGAAGAACGGGAAAAGGGAGCGATTTTTTCCTACGTGGAAGCTAGTTTTTAGCCAGCAATAATAACAGCAGCAGCCACATGGGGACACAATAGACTCACCAGAAATCTCAATTCGCCATAAAAAAGTGTAGTTGTAACTCATTGGATTAGAATAAACCTTCAGCCGACGGCCGGAACAGCAGCCATACATGTTGTGTAGGAAACTCTTCCTTCATTATATTTTGAAACGTTGCTATGGGAACAACCTGGTGTATGAGTGAACGACATATTGTGCAGCAACAATAGGGGTGGCAGGCGGCCTTGGTTTTCATGTTAAATCACTCAATTATATCAATTATGCTAATCTGACCTGAGCTCTGTATCCTAATAGGTTTATGAAACATAAATTACTTTGGCTCTTTAGCGTATTTTTTTTTTCTTGTCAGATCCTCTCTTCAAAACTGCTTCGTCTTTTGGGAATCTCAGAGAATCGATTTTCTGTTTACAACATTATCTATCTTCCTTTCCCTCCCAGCTTTATCTCATTCCTCTGTCCTCTTGTGTTCCATTCCTGGGCAGGGTCCATAGGTATGCGAAGACTGTAGGAAACTATCCAGCAGTCCTCGTCATCTTTCAGAAAGTTTCCCTTCAGTCACATTGCATAATCTCCATTACCTCAGTCTCTCATCGTCACTAATTCCTACCACATTTCAAAATAGATTACAAACCTAGTCTACGATTATAGAATCTGTCAATTCAGATAATCAGTTATACGTAAAGGAAGATGGATACTATTGGTGCGGTGAGCGATGCTCTCAGAGGTTTGGGCACCAGCTGTTGAGTCGCGGGTGCCAATTGAGTATTTTTATCCTTGTATCAATAACTGAGAACGCGATCGATATATTGATTCGTCATTTCACATGGTGATGTGTATATCTGTTTTTCCGTAAAAATAGTGTTACGCCATGTATGTTATGTATATAAATTTGGTTGTACAGTTTTGTTTTATTTTACTTTAGATTCGTATATATATATATATATATATATATGTGTGGTGTGTGTGTGTGTGTTGGATGTTGAAGCTTCGTACCACAACTCTCCTTCTGATTTATTAACTGTTCATTCTCTACATATTAATTTCAGATACAATAACTCCGCTGCCTCCAGTCTCCTCACTGCTGAGAAAATCACGAACAACGTGACTCTCACATGGCACCACTCTACTGTGATATATCCTTTTTTTTAACATCCACTGAAACACATTTAATATTTCTACTAATTCCTTAACACTTCTGCTACTTTCTTTCTCTTTTTATGAGTTTCAAATTATCTTTCAAAGACCCGTCAGCCGACACATACAGTATTGAATATCTTAATGAGTTAATCTCATACTCATTCAAAAGTGACTTCTGCACTTTTATTCTTTATATTTCCACATGTTATCTCATTCATGTTTTCTGTGTTCGCTTTCGTCTTCCTTCTTTTGCATAGCCTTTCTAAATTCTTTACTGTCCTGTTCCATTTACCAATCCTTCTCCTCCTCTTCCTGCTCCTTCTTCTCCATAGTCTTCATTTAAATCATCATTCTTCCACCTCTCCTGCTTCTCATCTTTCACCCTGCCCTTCTGTTTGTAATCTCATCCTCTTCACCTCCGTCAAAATTCCGTCATTTCATGACACCAGAGGCAACGTCTTACAGACAATGAGAGTCAATTAGAAGGCTGAAATTTCATTAGCAAGTCAGTAAACACCAGTGTCGCTTTCTCTCTCTCGTCTTAATTGCTTAATCAGCTCCTTAAGTGCCAAGATAATGTGGTGTCGAGTCATGAAGGAAGATTTACAAGATGCGCCTGGAAGGTATGAGAGTAATACCAGCCGTGTGTCATGCACGAAATCATAGCTAATGTATAATAGCAGTGAGTCAGACAGTGGTGGTTAGAATCGCTGTGGCGAAGATAATTGTGGTCGGAAAGGTAGTGATAACGAGAGATGTTGATATAACAGGGGTGTTAGTAATAAATATAAACAATAACACGACGCAGGTATAACATCCCACCTACGACACTATAAATAAGAGACAAAGAATTAGCAACTTTTTCCACACTATTATTATTTTTATTATGATGATTATTATTATTATTATTATTATTATTATTATTATTATTATTATTTATTATTATTATTATCATCATTATTATTATTATCATTATTATTATTATTATTATTATTATTATTATTATTATTATTATTTGTATGAAGTGTAGGTCATTCAGAACAAGACGTGGTGGAAGCTCTATCATCTAATAGGGAGACACTGCTAAACGTGCCGTACAAAGGACTACCAGACAGGTGCTTTAGATTTCACAGTGCTTGATGCTCTGTGCTTATAAAGCGGCTTTAAGTCAGCCAGATAAAGCTGTAGTAATTAACTTATAAGTATGTTATGTATATCTTCCACCATCTGGCTGTTTTATAGTGTTGACTATGTGGATTTTCGCTCAATCCACCACGGATCGAAACGTCGTCTAAAGTTTCCACTCGACAGTGTGGGTCGTTTGTGCACTGTTCACTTTTCTAGAGTACCTCACTTTCTAGAGTACCTCACTTTCTGGAGTACCTCACTTTCTGGAGTACCTCACTTTCTAGAGTACCTCGTTTTCTATAGTATCTTACTTTTTAGAGTACCTCATTTTCTAGAGTACCTGAGTACCTCACTTTCTAGACTACTTCATTTTCTAGAGTACCTCATTTTCTAGAGTGCCTGAGTACCTCACTTTCTAGAGCACCTCATTTCCTAAGGTTTCTGTTATTCTTCGAGTTCCGTCGCTCCGCAAGTTGTTCGTTCCACAAGTTCAGCGATGTGTAAGGTGTCTCATACCGTAAGTCACCCACTCCGTGAGTTGCACATTTCACACGCTCCACCATTCCGGAAGTCCCGTCATTCCGCAAGTTACACACCATTCCGTTGGTTCCATCACTTCCCACGAGCGTTCCATTCAGCAAGTTCCCCCACCACTCCAGATTCTGTGAATCGATCGATCATCTGCGGAGCGCAGTTCTCCCGTCGTCATCTTTGTTGACATAGCCAACTGACTCCCTCTCCCATCTGCTGCCTCAGGCTGGTGGTCCCGTAAGGGATTACCTAGCGGCTTTTATGGTAGCCATAAGAACAGTTTGGTTTATGGGGATGATTACCCATTGACGTGCGTTTGTAAGGACAATTAAAAGGAGACAATTCAAAATTCGCTTCCTATTCTTTTTTTCCCTTTTTATGGACTTTATCGTAGAAGGTAGGCGACTGGGACAAGTTCGTGCAGGGAAGGAACAGATGTCCAATACAACACAGGGGGAAAAGGACCTTTACGGCTGATAAAATTTCTGGTACTTGAGCATCTGTCTTTCCCGAGCGAGGGTGGGCGGGGGTGGACACCTGGGCTGATTTGGCAGTTTTAATTTAACGTTCCTTCGAGACTTCCCTATAACATACACACAAACTTACCTCCTTAATAAACCCAAGAACGATTTTTTTTATAATATTCTCCGAAGACCGCCAGGTAAAATTTTTAATGTGGTTTTGCGCTAAGATCTGGTTTGACATTACACGCGAAGTGTGTTGGCTTAGGTAAGTCTTTCGAGAAAACGGTTACAGGATCTTCCATCATTTTGAGGGTCTTTGTGTGTGCTCTCAATGAGTGTGTTTGGGTAGGTGAGTGTGGGTGGTGAGGGAAGGGGGTCACACCCTCACCCACGTCCGGGCTGCAAACTAGGTTATCTGGATCTTATTGAACTACGTGAGATAACGGTAGACAGTGAAGAAGCTGCTCTCAAAGGAAGATAGTAGATATCTTTTCTTGATGCATAATGAAAGTTACTCAGCTGTGTATAAAAACACCCGTGGGACTGAATTTGATAGTGTTGGTACGTTTGTAAACGCACGTCAGGTATAGTAGTACACATTTTACGGAAAAGTTTGTAGGTATACTATATATATATTATTAATTTATATTTTTCATATTCATATATATACACTAATATATACTCCTAATAAACCCAAAACGATTATTTTTTTATTGAATTGTTTTAATTTGCTTGTCTCTCTCTACACTCTTCTAATTGCTTCTTCTCTTCATATATATATTATTGACTTAAGAATGTGTTTATATGGTATGTTTTATAATATGCGGCCGATTAGAATGGTCAATTCAGCAGAATCTTAAATTAAGTCCTTTCTAAAATTTTCTCTGTACGAAATAGTTTTTTTGCAGTATGTTGATGTGAAGGATGTGTTTTGCACCCAACCCAACTCTGGCAAAACTTACCTACCTTATCATAACAAGACAATTTATTTTAGCCGTAACCCAATAAATATTATTTAGATTTGTTTAAATTTAATTTAATATCAAAAAATACCACAATAAAAAACTTATTTATCGTTGAGGTTCAAATGATT